TCTACAAATTATTCTAAGTACTAATTAGAAGTCATGAAGAGGCATCTGAAGTTACCCGGTTTAACCCATGTTATGCTTCGTTAAACATGCAGGTCGTCCACCTCATTTATCTTGGTTTGGTATTCCCCGGTCACCGGGCATCGAACGTAACTAGCCACCCCTACGGGGACATAGAAAACCGAGCATACTTTGAAATAGAGATAATGATCGATCGCTTCCGGTCAGGATTCACACTCGAAGATGGGAACCGGTTGACTAGTTTCGGACTTGAGGAAGGCCCGCTTGCTCCTGAAGATGGACTCTTAATCTGCACCTCTAAGTGACCCAATCCGTTGACGTCCTTTGTGGTGGTAGAATCCACGTTGTCAAAAAAGTTGCGAAGGGTGTCTTCCGCTCTTTGGGCCCTCTTGTTGGGACGTCCTTTCATCATCTGAGCCTCGTTATACATGGACTTAGTAAACGAAGGGGACTCGGAGAGGTCTATCACACCGAGTGCATCCTTCGGGGCATTGCCCCGAGAAGCCCCAGCCACGACCTCCTTGTCGGCCTCCCTAACTTGAGGTAAAACGGCCTTGCCTTTCTCTGGTTCGGAAGCCTCGACCACGACCCCCTCATCGACCTCCCTAAATTGAGGCAATTCAGTTTCACCTCTCTCTAGTTCGGAGGCCCCTTGCCCCTCGTGAAATGACTCTCGGTCCACCAGATCAAACTCTTCTTCTTCTTCGGACTCGTCCCTCAGCCGGTGGAGTGAGTCCGATGAGAGCGCTCGGGCGCTGGCACTTTCTTTGGATTTGCGCACCAGCCTTCTCCTTGGTTTCTTTTTTCTGAGTTCGGAGAATTCAGAGCCATTTTCCTTTTCTTCTCATCACCCTGTCTCAGAGCAGGGGACTCGACGGGGCAATCCTCTTTACCGGATGGAGGCCTTTGTGTGACGTCCTTGGATAAACCTACAAAGGGAAACAAAGCAAACAAGAATTTAGCGACACAAAAGAAACCCAATTATTACTCACCCGGGAAAGGAATATCACCATGAGAACGGGCCTTCCACCGGCCCTTCGAGAGTTCGCGCCATGTGCGCTCAGAATATGGCCTTTGTGACACGATGCCCTCGACCCATTCCTTGAGTCGAGGGACTGCATTCGGGACCTGAGCGACACATGCACCACCACAAAGCACCGATAAAAAAATAAAAAAAGGGAAATCCGATGCACTAAACTCCCGCTATACGCGGGGTCAGGGGAAGGGCCGGACCACAAGGAAGAATGAAGGAAAAAAGAGAAATAATTTTTTTTAAAATGAGGTTTTACTTACGTTTTATATTCCACTTCTCGAGTAACGACATGTGCTCAGCTGGGATCAAGTCCTAGGTCCTTACTCTGACAAAATAACCTAGACAGCCTCGATCCCGATCGTCATCGATACTCGAGAACGAGGCTTTACTAGCCCGACGCGAGAGCTTGATCAGTCCCCCCGAAAGAGTCGGGGACTGTATAGGCGCATGAGGTGGTCGATGGTGAACGAGCATCCATTGATCTTGCTCATGAAGAACTGAAGAAGGATCAGGATCCTCTAGAAAGAAGGGTGAATTTGACCGAGGCATACCTTGTATCTTTTGCAGAAGTCGATGATGACCGGATCTAATGGACCTAGTGTAAAGGGATAAGTGTAAACACTTAAGTATCCCTCGACGTGGGTGGTGATATCTTCATTGGGTCTAGGAACCACAAAGTGCTTGTCAACCCAATTGCAATCCTTTTTTATCGTGGGGAGGATTTATTAAGTGATCGAGCATACGTATCTCGAGACCTCCTCACACCGGCCTGGTAAGGAGGAAGGTTTTTCAACCTTGAAATCGACGGTTACTGAGCATCCACCAGGGATGGAAAAGGGGGGTTCCGCTACTGGTTCCTCGACAGCGGAACGGTCTCCTCGATAACCGCCCGCGATGTAGAAGGAGTTTCTTTTTGGGGAACGATTTTTGAAGTCTTCGCCATTTATTTTAAAATAGAGGGGAAAAAAAGAAAAAGAGGAAGTTAAAGGAGTACACTTGATGGTTTGGGATGAAGACGAGCAAAATTTCTCACAAAAGATCTCACAAAACCAGGATATAAGTGCCAAAAAGTATAGAGATTTCTAAGGAACAAGGGTAGAGGGTTTGGATGTAAAGTTTGAATGAATAAAGAAAGGAGTACTTATAGTTTTCAAAAGACGGTTCGCATCCAGGAGTGGCCGACCGACAATTGACAAGCATTTAATACCATTAAGACTTGATTGATGTAACATTTTGTTTATTTTGTCATTTCTGTCGCGGAGTATCGAAGTGAGAATCGGAAGCTCATATCGTTTCTCGTCGTCTACACTCCGAAAAATTAGGGGACTATCTATATACGGTCGAAATGGGGCTCGTCTACGACATGGTAGGTAGGGGCTCGGAACATGAGGGACTGAAGATCGATCCCAAGTCCCACCGGACCAGAACCCGAGGTCAGAATGTATGTCTTCGAGAACATTGAGTCTGTGATCCCGGAATCGACCCTGACCCCGAACGAGCTCGAAGAAACATTGTTAGCATAACCAACATAAGATCAAAATATCCGTGACCGGTCGGATATTACAGCGGGAGTCTCGACACGTATCAATAAGGAATCGGCAATCAGCAAATCAAGAGATTTTTACCTTTTATAGAATTATACCTAAAGTATGACTCCCTTACTATATAAAGGGGGTCTGATAATTCGTTTAAGACATTGTAACACACATTCCAAAGCAATACATTATTTTTCTCTTTAAGTTCTTATTTAAGTTGTATCTTGATACCGGTCGTAGTGCATCCAATTCGAGGGTGGCTAACCTCCCAAGATTGTAACTATTCAATTCGTGTGGTTTGAATTTACTTTATCATTATTTATTTCAATTGCAATTTAATTTATCATTTTGTGTCAAGTTAATTCACGTATACTTAAAATCACTTATAAATTTAATTGTTATCCGATTTTGAGGGTAAGGAGTTTTATTTTGCATATCTTGAGTTTATTTTATTTGAGTGGTTGAATTAATACCATTATATTTGAGTTGTTAAAATATAATTTAAACGAGGCCGAAAAAACTTCTAAAGCAAAAGTGACACATGTCGTCTCATTTGAGACCTTTAAACCAGATGCGGGCCTCCAACAAAAACCTAATCCCTCTGAACAAAAGGACTTCTCATAAATTCCGGGTAGGCTGTAGCGCTTTGTGATCCGAATTGGGTGATTGTAGGGTTTGCCAAGAGAAGTGACATGATTCGTGAACCGCCGCCACCGACAATACCTCAGAACGTTGCTTCCTCGTCAGTAGCAGGGGTTCGTAGCGGAGATTTCTCTGACGCTACGGATGAACGTGTTCAAGGGGGGTTTTCGCTACTGGTTCCTCGACAGCGGTACGCGAAACGGTCTCATCGACAACTGCCCGTGATGTAGAAGGAGTTTCTTTTTGGGAACCGATTTTTGAAGTCTTCGCCATTTCTTTTAAAATGGAGGGAAAAAAAGGAAAAAGAGGAAATTAAAGGAGTACACTTGATGGTTTGGGATGGAGACGAGTAAAAGTTCTCACAAAAGATCTCACAAAACCAGGATATAAGTGCCAAAAAGTATAGAGATTTCTAAGGAACAAGGGTAGAGGGTTTGGATGTAAAGTTTGAATGAATAAAGAAAGGGGTACTTATAGTTTTCAAACAACGGTTCGCATCCAGGAGTGGCCGACCGGCAACTGACAAGCATTTAATACCATTAAGACTTGACTGATGTGACGTTTCATTTATTTTGTCGTTTCTGTCGCAGGGTATCGAAGTGAGAATCGGAAGCTCATATCGTTTCTCGTCGTCTACACTCCGAAAAATGAGGGGACTATCTGTATACAGTCGAAATCGGGCTCGTCTACGACATGGTAGATCGGGGCTCGAAACATGAGGGACTGAAGATCGATTCCAAGTCCCACCGGACTAGAACCCGAGGTCAGAATGCCTGTCTTCGAGAACATTGAGTATGTGATCCCGGAATCGACCCTGACCCCGAACGAGCTCGAAGAAACATTGATAGCGTAACCAACAGAAGACCAAAATATATATGACCGATCGGATATTATGGCGGGAGTCTCGACACGTATCAATAAGGAATCAACAATCAACAAATCAAGAGATTTTTACCTTTTATAGAATTGTACCTAAAGTAGGACTCCCCCACTATACAAAGGGGGTCTAATAATTCATTTAAGACATTGTAACACACATTCCAAAGCAATACATTATTTCTCTCTTTAAGTTCTTATTTAAGCTGTATCTTGATACCGGTCGTAGTGCATCTAGTTCGAGGGTGGCTAACATCCCAAGACTGTAACTGTTCAATTCGTGTGGTTTGAATTTACTTTATCATTGTTTATTTCAATTACAATTTAATTTATCGTTTTGTGTCAAGTTAATTCACGTATACTTAAAATCACTTACAAATTTAATTGTTATTCGATTTTGAGGATAAATACCGAGTTTTATTTTGCATATCTTAAGTTTATTTTATTTGAGTTGTTAAAATTATATAATTTTAACGAGGCCGAAAAAACTTCAAAAGCAAAAGTGACACATGTCGTCTCATTTGAGACCTTTAAACCAGATGCGGGCCTCCAACAAAAACCTAATCCCTCTGAACGAAAGGACTTCTCATAAATTCCGGGTAGGCTGTAGCGCTTTGTGATCCGAATTGGGTGATTGTAGGGTTTGCCAAGAGAAGTGACATGATTCATGAATCGCCGCCACCTACAATACCTCAGAACGTTGCTTCCTCGTCAGTAGCCAGGGGTTCGTAGCGGAGATTTCTCTGACGCTNATATATTCTTGAAAAACTTGCATGGAAAAACTTTTGCAATTATATGGATCAATTATTTGGAGGTCAACTTGTCACAATTATTTTTATATAGTTGCTACGTGCTCTTTTAGGGAGAATTTAGAAAGAGAAACATTCCCTTAACCGTGAATTTGTTGCGTGTACTTTGTTAAGGATTTGATATTAAAGACTATCCAGGACCTAGCCTGATGGTTACAGTTTTCCCAATGCCGTACTACTTGACCGATCCTGAGAATCTCGTCATGTTGAAGGGTTATGCGGAAAAGGCACTTAAGAAATACAATGATACTAATGTAAGCTCGAGCCACACTTTCATTTGTCTTGTCAGCTCTTTTTTCCTTTTTCTTCTTCTTGGTAACTAAGAAATTTACCTTTGTACTGGTTTTAGAGCACCTGTTGGGAGGTTGATGATATTTTGAAGGTGAATGGAGGGGGCTGTCGTAGCTTCATTTTCTATATTACCCTTTCGGTCAAGACACATAAAGGGGAAAAAGACTATTTTCAAGCTAAGGTGGTGATAGATTTAGATGGTCATTTGGACTTTCCTATCGTCAGGCCCCAGGTATAGGTTCTTATGAGATCTGTTACACTCTTCTTATGTTTCTTCTGATGTTTTAAACATGTTGATATATCTTTCTAATGTTTTAACGTGTTTATTCTTGAGTCTCCAAGTCTTTACCTACAAATAATAACTAAGATCCACCATGAGTGCCAAGTAATGAAGCTGCAACATAGACTAAGTGTGAACAAATGAACACCCTTTAGGAACCAACTTGTGACAATTGATGTGATATAGTTGCTACGTGCTCTTTTAGGGAGAATTTAGAAAGAGAAACATTCCCTTAACCGTGACTTCCATGCTCCGAAAATAACCATTTTTGTAAGAATTGCATTTGGTCATCTGATAACTTAACCTTAGCATATGCCGACTTTAAAGACGATTGAATTGAATTAAAGCTTTTGGAAGTGAAGGATTGGGAAAACTTTTTTAATCCCCTTGTCTCTGTTATCACATTATCATTCCTAATTTAAACTTATAAGTTTAGTCTATACCATCTCCGTTGCCCCCAGAATTTGACTCTTTTCTATCCCCTTCTCCTGTCAGTCAAAATCCTAAGACTTAAACTTCTATTTTATGGACCAAGTATCCCAAATCACTCTGAATCATCCGGTAACTGAATTCAACCATGAACACAAGTCAATACACATAATACGAAGCTGCTCAGGTCCATGCACCGCCGAACGGGACTTACATTCTCAAAATAACCGGCCGGGTCGTTACATCCATATTACATGAAAAATTGATTAAAAAATTTTATTTGAGTAAAAATCATTCAAATATATTATAAAAATATATTATCGTGGGATATATGTTTCTCAATTTCAACTCTTTATGAAGTCCATTTAATATTACTTTTATTGTTCTTGGTATTGGACATTATGTAGTGATAATGTATTACCAATACAGAGGATTCTTATGAAATTGATTTTATTAAACCTTCCTTAATATTTTTAATAAGAATTTAATAAATAATTATTTATTAATTTTAAAATCTTAAATATTAAAAGCTAGTATAGATGGTATTGTAGTCCAAAAAATAGGTTATTGTAGTTATGTCATTTCCCTATGAGTTCTTCCGTTTAATTATTTTAGGGCTATTTTGGTCTACTAATATTGTATTTGTACTTTTATAATAATATTGTAATGACCAGAACGTTCATTTTGAGCTCCAGCGCGTCGTTCGGCAGTTTGAGGCCTTGAGTAGCTTCCCTTCAGGCATTAGCCTTGCAGGGGTTCCCTCGATTAGAATGGAGAGGGAATCTTGGCCATTTTGCTAGCATGGTTATCTCTTATATGAAGGCTCGGCATATGGTCGAGAAGGGGTGTCTAGCTTATTGGGCTTATGTCTGTGATTCTAGTGCGGAGGTTCCTTCCATATATTTGGTGTTGGTTGTTCGTGAGTTTCCAGAGGTGTTTTCTGCAGACCTGACGGGAATGCCACCCGACAGGGATATTGATTTTTGCATTGATTTGGCTCCGGGCACTCAGCCTATTTCCATTTTGCCATATCGCATGGCCCAGCCAGAGTTGAAAGAATTGAAGGAGCAGTTGCAAGATTTTCTTGATAAGGGCTTCATTAGACCTAGTGTCTCGCCCTGGGGTGCACCTGTGTTATTTGTGAAGAACAAAGATGGATCGATGAGGATGCGTATAAATTATCGGCAGTTGAACAAAGTCACCATCAAGTACAAATATCCATTGCCGAGGATTGATGATTTATTTGATCATCTTCAGGGTGCCAAGGTGTTTTCAAAGATTGATTTGAGATCTAGCTACCATCAGTTGAGGATTAGGGCATCCGATGTTCCTTAGATAGCTTTTAGGACTCGGTATGGAAAATATGAGTTTCTAGTGATGTCATTTGGGCTGACAAATGCCCCAGCAGCATTCATGGATTTGATGAACCGGGTGTTCAAACCCTACTTGGATTTCTTTGTGGTTGTATTTATTGATAATATCTTGATCTACTCCCGCAGTCAAGAGGAGCATAAACAGCACCTTCGGATCGTTCTTCAGACTTTGAAAGACAGCCAGTTATATGCTAAGTTCTCAAAATGCGAGTTTTGGTTGAGTTCAGTTACTTTCTTGTGTCACGTTGTATCAGCAAAGGGTATTCAGGTGGATCCTAAAAAGATTGAGGCAGTTCAGAACTGGCCTAGACTGACATCAGCTATAGAGATCCGTAGTTTCTTGGGTTTGGCGGGCTATTACCGTCGATTTGTGGAGGGGTTTTCATCCATAGCAGCGCCGTTGACCAGATTAACCTAGAAGGGTGCCCCGTTCAGGTGGTCAGACGAGTGTGAAGCGAGCTTTCAGAATCTCAAGACAGCCTTGACTACGGCACCGGTATTGGTGTTACCCACAGGTTCAGGATCTTATACAGTATATTGTGACGCATCTCGTATTGTTCTGATTGCGGTGTTGATGCAGGGTGGCAAAGTTATTGCATATGCTTCACGGTAGCTGAAGGTTCACGAGAAGAATTACCATGTTCATGATCTAGAGCTGGCAGCTATTGTTCACGCTGAAAATTTGGTGGCACTACCTTTACGGCGTGCTATGTGAGGTATTCACTGATCATCGGAGCTTGCAGTATTTGTTCAAGCAGAAGGAACTCAATTTGAGGTAGAGGAGGTGGCTGGAGCTAATGAAAGACTATGATATCACCATATTATATCATCCCGGGAAGGCCAATGCAGTGGCCGATGCTTTGAGTAGAAAGTCAGTCAGTATGGGTAGCCTTGCATATATTCCAGTTGGTGAGAGATCGCTTTCATTGGATGTTCAGGCATTGGCCAACCAGTTCGTGAGGTTAGATGTTTCTGAGCCCAGCCGCGTTCTAGCTTGTATAGTTGCTCGGTCTTCTTTATTTGAGCGCATCAGAGATCGACAGGATGACGATCCTCGTTTACTTGTCCTTAGAGACACAGTATGGCACGGTGGTGCCAAGCAGGTTAATATTGGAGATGACGGAGTTTCGAGGATACAGGGTCGTATTTGTGTGCCTAATGTGGATGGACTTCATGGGTTGATCCTTGAGGAGTCCCACAGTTCCCGGTATTCTATTCACCTGGGCGCCGCCAAGATGTATCAGGACTTGAGGCAGCATTATTGGTGGAGGCGAATGATGAAGGACATAGTTGCCTATGTAGCTCGATGCCTAAATTGCCAGCAGGTAAAGTGTGAGCATCAAAGACCTGATGGTTTACTTTAGAGGTTAGATATCCCTGAGTGAAAGTGGGAGTGTATCACTATGGACTTTATGTTAGACTTTCACAGACTCAAAGGAAGTTCGATGCAGTTTAGGTCATTGTGGACAGGCTGACTAAGTCAGCGCACTTCATTCCTGTGGCAGTTACCTATTCCTCAGAGCGGTTAGCAAAGATTTATATTCGTGAGATCATCCGTCTTCACGGTGTTCCCGTGTCCATTATATCTGACCAAGGTACGCAGTTTACCTCATATTTCTGGAGGGCTATATAGCGTGAGTTAGGCATGCGGATGGAGTTGAGTACAATATTTCATCCACAGACAAACAGACAATCAGAGCGCACTATTCAAATATTGGAAGATATATTCCGCGCTTGTGTTATAGACTTTGGAGGTTCTTGGGATCATTTCTTGCCACTTGCGGAGTTTGCTTATAATAATAGCTACCAGCCGAGCATTCAGATGGCTCCATATGAGGCATTATATGTAAGGTGATGCCGATTGCCAGTTGGTTGGTTTGAACCGGGAGAGGCTCGGTTGTTGGGTACGATTTGGTACAGGATGCCTTGAATAAGGTCAAGATTATTCAGGATCGACTTCGCACAGCTCAGTCTAGGCAAAAGAGTTATGCCGACCATAAAGTTTGTGATATTGCATTCATGGTTGGAGAAAGAATATTGCTCCGGGTTTCACCTATGAAAGGTGTAATGAGGTTCGGAAAGAAGGACAAGTTGAGCCCTAGGTACATCAGACACTTTGAAATTCTTGAAAGGGTGGATGAAGTAGCCTACAGGCTTGCATTGCCACCTAGTTTATCAGTGGTTCATCCGGTGTTCCATGTGTCTATGCTCCGGAAATATCATGGTGACCCGTCCTACGTCTTAGATTTCAGCTCTGTCCAATTGGACAAGGATTTGATTTACGAGGAGGAGCCGGTGGCTATTCTAGACCGGCAGGTTCGCCAGTTGAGATCAAAGATTTACCCTTCAGTTCGAGTGCAGTGGAGAGGTCAGCCTATTGAGGCAGCTACTTGGGAGTTCGAATTCGATATGCAGAGTAGATATCCCCACCTTTTTACCAGCCCAGATACTTTTCTATGTCCGTTGGAGGACGAATGGTTGTTTTAGAGGTGGAGATTGTGATGACCCAAAAGGGTCATTTTATATTTTAGATCTCGAATCTGTACTCTTAAGCCTTAAAATCTTATTTTTATCCTCCTCGATTTGTGTGTGTAGTCCGGGCAGGTTTCTGGAAAGCTTTTATGTTGAAAATTAATGCAAATAAGAATTTTTATCTTAAAAATTAATTTTAGTTGACTTCGGTCAACATTTTTTGTAAACTAGCCCGGATCCGTATTTTGATGATTCCGATAGGTCAGTATCGAATTATGGGACCTGGGCGTATGCCCGGGATTGAATTCGGAGGTCCCTAGCTTGATTTATATTTTTGATGAAAATTAAAAGTCTGAAAATTATTTATTTTTAAGAATTGATTGATATTTGGAATTGTTAGTATCGGGTCCGTATTTTGGTTACGGAGTCCGATACAAGTTCATTATGATATTTAAGACTTGTATGTGAAATTAGGTGAGAAACGGAGTTGATTTGACGTGATTCGGACGTCCAGTTGAGAAGATATGAATTTTAAAGTGTTCTTGAGAATTTTATTTGATTTGGTGCTAAATTCGTTGTTCTAGGTGTTATTTTGGCGATTTTATCGTGCGATCAAGTTCGTATGATGTTTTTAGACTTGTGTGCATGTTTGGTTTGGAGCCCCGAGGGCTCAAGTGAGTTTTGGATAGGCTACGGAGTGATTTGGACTTAGAATAATAACTGGTGTGCTTCAACTGTGTTGCAGGTCTCAGACCTCGCAAATGCGAGGTCAGGGTTGGCATTTGCGATCACTGTTGAGGTCGCATTTGCGAACTTCTCATCGCAAATGCGAAGAGAAGCTGGGCCAGCCTGTGTTCGCAATTGCGAACTTTTCTTCGCATTTGCGAGTGGTGTCTGGGAGGGGTATGGATCACAAATGCGATCTTTTGTGCGTATTTGCGAGATCAGTGATCGCAATTGCAACACTTTCCTCGCATTTGCGAAGGGCATAAGGATTGTGAAGGCTTCGCAATTACGATAGCCCCTTCGCAATTGCGAGCTTTGCATTTGCGAAACTCAGGTCGCAAATGCGACGTCTGCAGCTGAACAAAGTGACTTTTGGACGGGAATTTTCATTCATTTCCCAAATTTTCAAGACCTAAAACACAAGAGGCGATTTTCCGAAGACCATCTCTTCCCCAAATCATGGGTAAGTGATTCTAAACTAGTTTCTTTCAATCTTTCACTACATTTTTACAAGACTTCAACCAAAAATCTAAGGTTTTCACGGTAGAATTAGGGGTTTTGGGTAGAAACTAGGGATTTCAGAAATTTGGGGATTTAGACCTCAATTTGAGGTCGGATTCCAAAACCAATTATATATTCAGGCTCGGGGTGAATGGGTAAATGGATTTTGGTCCGAACCTCGGGTTTTGATCAAGCAGGCCCGGGGTTGATTTTTGACTTTTTGGAGGAAAATTTAGGAAATCTAAATTTATGCAAGTAATTGATTCCTTTAGCAATATTTGATATTATTGAGTCATATTTGAATAGATAAGAGTGGTTTGGAGGTGAATTCCAAAGAAAAAGCAGTGATTGAGAATTAAGTGGCCTTCGGAGCAAGGTAAGTGTTGTGTCTAGCCCTGACTTGAGGGAATTAGGAACCTTAGATTACTTGCTAAGTGAAATTCATGTGAGCGGCGTATATGTGAGGTAACGAGTACTTATCCGCCACTAATTTACCTGTTTTCCATGTTTCTCAGTTTTTCTTATATTGTCTCAACCCTATGCCTAATTGCGATGTGTTATACTAGTGTTGTTCAATTTATCATTCTCATCATGTTTACGGATTTTTTGGTGATAATTGAGTTTTTATTTCAAAGTTGAGATTGATGTTATGGAACCAAATATTGATGTAAGGTTTGTACTTGCTATTCTATATCCCTGTTGATATTTATGCATTGCATTGTGGTAAGGGAGAGTGTTAACGCACGAAGGGTGATGTCGTGCCATATTTTGAGTGTTAATGCACGAAGGGTGATATCGTGTCATATTGTGAGTGTTAATACACGAAGAGTGATGTCCTGCCATATTGTGAGTGTTAATGCACAAAGGGTGATGTCGTGCCATGATATGAGAGTTAATGCACGAAGGGTGATATCGTGTCGTTTCTATTGATTTTTATGGTGAGATTGAGAGTAAAAGCATGAAAGGTGATGCCGTGCATTTGTTTCCTTACTGTATTCACTATTCCTGTTGATTCATGGTATATTGACTGCTCCGGTGATCATTCTGTTTAGTTCTTTATCTTGTATTCCCCTCAGTATGTTCCCCTCCCGACATTTCCTATTTAGTTCTTCATTTCTGTTAATTGTATATACACTGTTAAATTGTACAGGTTAATTTGTAGGTGCCTTGCCTTAGCCTCGTCACTACTTCTTCAAGGTTAGGCTCGACACTTACCAGTACATGGGGTCGGTTGTACTGATACTGCACTCTGCACTTTCTGTGCAGATTTTGATACTGGCTCGGGTTGATCGAGATTTTGCTATTGGTCCGTTGTCCGGAGACTCAAGGTAGATCTGTTGGCGTTCACAGACCTTGAAGTCCCTATCTATCTTTTCTATTCTACTGTTTCATTCATTCAGACAGTTGTATTTCTTTCTGACTATTACTTGTAGCAAATTCTAGAATACTCATAAATTGTGACTCTAGATCCGGATGGTAGTAGTTAATACAGATTTATGATATTTCGCACTTGTTATATTTTATCTTAGTTAATTATTGTTAATTATTGAATGAAAATAAAAAATTGGCTTGCCTACCAAGTAAAATGTTAGGCGCCATCACGGTCCCGTCAGTAGAAAATTTCGGGTCATGACACATTTAAAACTCCACATAGTAATTTCATATCAAATTTGACTGAAGCAGAAAATAATATTTTCCCAACGTTTCCAAAATAGTGATATATAACAGTTGAAGTGCAGTAATAATGAAATAAATGCATCCTCTCAGAGTAACAGTCACAGTCCTCCCATTCACTCCAACCTCATTGTCACTTTTTCCTCACAGTCACTTATTCCTCTCAATCACTCGGCACTCGCACTCGCACTCGCACTCAATAGGTACCTGCGCTCGCTAGGGATATGTACAGACCAGGAAGTGGCTCCTTCAGCCCAAGCGCTATAACAAGACAATCATGGCATATAACCATGAAACATGTTACGGCGTCTAGCCCGATCCCATAAATATCCTCACAATCAGGCCATAGGGCTCACTCAGTCATCGACCTCTCCAGTCTCTCGGGCTCTCAGAAATCATGATAAGTAGCCCAAATAGAAATTATGATGCATCAATAATGAAAAATAGAGACTGAGATGTAATATGTCGTAAAATCGTGACTGAGTATGAAACAACAATTTAGCGGATAATTCAACATGTACACGACCTCTGTGGGTCACAACAATGTAAACATATGGTTTAAACATGATTTTTAGTTTAATTTCTCTAATACGTGAAAAGTTGTACGGATATCAACAGATTATTCAACTACACAGTTCCATAGAATTGATCAAGTCATAATTCCTACGGGGCGCGCCCACACGCTCGTCACCTAGCATGTGCGTCACCTCAAAACCAATCACATATCACAAAATTCAGGGTTTCATACCCTCAGTACAAAATTTAGAACTGATACGTACCTTAAACCGTGTAATATTTTATTCCGCTATGCCCTTGCCATGAGAATTGGTCTATGAAAGCCTCGTATCTAGCCACAATTCATTTGATTCAGTCAATACCAATTATTGTAATTAGTTTCATAAGGAAATACTAATTTTCTAATAAAATCTAAAATTTAACTCAAAAATTACACGTGGGACCCACATAACCCGCCAAAAGTTGTAAAATGTGAACGCTCATCCAACCACGAGTCCAACCATACAAATTTTACCAAATTCCGACATCAACTTGACCTTCAAATCTTCAATTAAAGTCTTTGAAGATTTCTACCATTTCCAACCCAATCTTTACCCATTTGAACTCAACAATCTTTCCACAAATCTTATTGGTATGTGTATGTATAAATAATACTCTCACACCCAAGAATCATACTCCCAATCACGCATCTTTACCCAAACTCGAAATTGAAGACTAGAGTTAAAAATTCTAACCTCTTTGAAGTCCTAGCAAGATCCTTGTGAAATCTTCAAACCTTGAACAAGAATTGATGGACAAATGACTAGGTCTTCACTTTATCTCTCTAAGATGCTCTCCCCTCTCTCTAAAATATCAGATGAAATCTTTCAAAATGACCCTCAATAGTATTTTATAAGAATGAGGTCGGGTTAATAAAACCAAAAAAATGTAGCCCTGAAACACACTCTGCGGTCGCATATGCGATCGCAGAATTGATATGCGGTCCGCATATCGGCCGCAAACATTTGGTGCCCAAACCTGGGGATCGCCTGCCTAGATCTGCGGTAGTTATGCGGCCTGTAGACCTGTTTTGCGGTCGCATAATGCATCGCAGAACTGGTCTGCGGTCGCATAATGCACCGCAGATCTTCCTCCAAGCTTCCCCGCCTCTGATTCACTCTGCGACCATTATGCGGTCCGCAGAGTGATTCTGCGACTGCATAGTGGGCCGCATAAATGATTTTTTCTGGCAAAATATTTTTTTTACTCCCTAGTGTATTTTTCAACCCAAAAAGTCCAAGCATTTCTAATACCTTTGTACTAATTAATCTACCTCGGCACCAAATAACCTTAATTTTCTTAGCAAAAATTATCTGGATCGTTACACATAAGTCAACATCTGGTCAATATTTTCGACTTAAGTTCTAAAGCTTGGAACTAAGTGTTCCAAATCATTCCAAAACCAAACCAATTACCCGGCAAGTCGAATAACAATCGTAAGGCATAATTTGAGTAGCAAATGGGGAAACGGGGTTGTAATACTCAAAACGACCGACCGGGTCACTACAGTTATCCACTAAGAATTTTATTTATGAAGGGTAGAAAATCGATTTGATATTTTTTCGGATTATTATAGTTGCATAATTATTAGTGTTATATTTTGCCAACCATCTCTCTCTGTGGAAAGTAGTTCAAGTGTAAAATAAAAATGTATTATAGTTTTTATACATAGTTTACGAGGATAACATGGAATAAATTATAAATTTATATTATTTTAAGTAATTAAACTCTTAATTTATTTGAATTCTTAAATATTAAGTAAGACTTTTTATATAATTTAAATAATAAATGATTAATAAAAAAAGAGTTAATTCTAGATACCTCCTCTCGTATTTGACTTTGTAACACTAATCTCCCTTGTGATTTATGATGTTACATTTATCTCTTTTATTCTAAATATTTTATAACAATACTTTTAGTCTATTGATCATTAACATTAAAAAGTTATAGTTTGACTAAATTGTCCTTTTTAATGTACTCCTTTATTTAGTTAATTTTATAAACATCTTTTATTACTTTTTATTTTTTTCTAAATTATTTTAACTATCAATGCTTAAGTAAAAAGAAATTAAAGTGAGTGAATTCCAAAAGTCTATGCCTATGTAAAACTCTTAATAACAATAATAATAAGCGAGAAGAAAGAGAAGCAAACCAAAACAAATGAAAATAAGTAAAAAGTGCAATCCCGAAGGAGTTAAAACAAGCAAACCTTTTTGTTTCGCTACTTCTTTCCCTTTTCATTTCTTTTTTTAATTAATTTTCTATTCTGAAAATTAATATTGGAGAAATTAACATGCAAGGTTATAATTATGTTAACTTGTCCAAATAAGGAGAGTGTTTATATAGAGTAAAGCTCTAATCGATTTTAATTTTCGATTTTCTACAAATATAAATAAACAAAAGATTTAATATTTAAAATTTTAGTTGATTTAGAACTCCTAAAGATTAGGGGAAAACTTAAATTACACTTTGTCTAGTGTAAAATCTATTTTTAAAGGACAAAAAAGACGAACGATATTTCGTTAATGGCCCTCGTGCTTTTAATATATGTAACGACCCGACTTGTCGTTTTGAACATTTACGCTCCTTTCAACTCTTTGAAGTATTGAGTAGCTTCATATGATGTATTATGACCAAGTTTGATTTTTTTTTTGTATTTGACATCGGAACAGAGTTTTGATGATTCTGTTATGTCCGGATGGTGATTTTGGACTCGGGCATATGTCCGGAATGTAATTTGGATATTTCGAGGAAGTTTTGACGTCGTTTCTTCGAGTATAAGTGGTATCACATTAAGAAAATGAGCTCCAAATTCAGTTGTAAAGACCCGACCGATCGTTTTGAGTGTATTAGCCCCGATCCCCTATTTACTGTTTTCCCTGTATCTGTTTATGCTTCAGTGACTTGCCGGGAGTTGAGGTCCATGCTTGAAACGAAAAAAGAGAGGAAGGGTTTATTTTTGGTTTCGGAGTATTTTGGGACACTTAGTCATTAAAACGGAAGCTTAAGTCTAGGAATTTTTACTGTAGTCGGAAGTGTGTGAAGACGACTCCAGAATGGAATTCCGTCACTTTTGTTAGCTCCGTTAGGTGATTTCGGGCATAGGAACGTGTCCAGATTGTGAATTTGAGGTCTGTAGCTAATTTAAGCGTGAAATGGCGAAAGTAAATTTTTTGGGATGTTTGATCAGAGGGTTGACTTTGTGATATCGGGGTCAGATTCCGATTCCGGAGTTGGAGTAGGTCTTTAAGGTTGAATGCGACTTATGTGTAAAATTTGAGGTCAATCAGACGTGGTTTGATAGGTTTCTGTGTTGTTTGTGGAATTCAGAAGTTTAGAAGTTCTTTAGGCTTGAATCCGGGTGTAATTTGGTGTTTTGATATTATTTTGAGTGATTCGAAAGTTCGACTAAGTTCGCATGGGGTTATATGACTTGTTGGTATGTTTGGTTGAGGTCCTGGGGGCCTCTGGTGTGTTTCGGATGCTTAACAGATTGAGTTTTGGACTTATGGAATTGTTGAAGCCTTATGATATCTGGTAGTTTGCACCTGCGGTGGGAAGGCCGCAGGTGCGTACTCGCATGTGCGAAGGAAGGAGCGCAGAAGCGGGAGTTGAGGAGATGGCTAAGGGTCGCAGGTGCGAGGGTGTTTCCGCAATTTTCAAGCCCGCAGATGCGCCTGAAGCTCCGTAGATGCGAAAATTGAATTGGAAAGGAGGATCGCAGAAGCGGACTTTTGTTCGCAGGTGCGCACACGCAGGTCCGACCACTTGCACGCAGGTGTGGACCCATCCTTTTTAGCCATTCCCGCACCTGCGATGGAAATTCCGCAAGTGCGGCATCACAGATGCGACACAAGGTCCGCAGGTGCGGAAACACTGGGCAGAAAATGAAACTTCGAGGGTTTGATTCCCATTTCGATTTTGGGACTTTGAGAGCTCGGTGTGAGGCGATTGTTTGAGGTTTCTTCAAGAAAATTATTGGGGTAAGTGATTCTAACTCGGATTGGACTATATTTCATGAATCTATTGCTATTTTCATCATCTAATTAGGGATTTGAGTTGTAAATTTGTGGGAAAATGGTAGAAACTTTATATGCTAAAGTTTTGAGTTTTGGAAGGTGATTTGCGGTTGGATTCGAGTAATTATTGTATGGTTGGACTCGTGAGTGGATGAGTGTTCAGATTTTGTGACTTTTGTCGGATTTTTAGTCGTAGGATTGATTCTTTTAATTCCGTG